AAACAATACTGTACTACATCGATGTTTCCTGTCGGCTCAATTTTCCAATGTAAGTATATTTACTATGTGGAAAATTGCTTTAAACCAGTGCTGTCAGACACACAGAGCAAAACACTCTTGAGAGACAGCTTGCATCTGATGTTTAGGACTGGTACAACAGCATGTTTCTCTTATGCTTTCAGGCTCATATGAATGAGATGGTTGTTTACCAAGAAACTGAGCACTTGTTGGATGACCTGTGAGAATTTTTGAGATGGCTTTAATAAGAACAAGACAACATTGAGCACTTAAAGAGTTTTGTGAGAACTGAGGTCTTACCTGTATTTCTGTCTGCAGCTGCTCCTTCTCTTTCTGAGCCACTCTGAGACTGGCCTTCAGCTCTTGCAGCTCACGACGGGTCTCGCTTAGCTGAACCTAAACACACAAACACAAATTTCACAAGAGTACTAGAAACCATAACAGTACAAGTCTTAAAATATTTAGATTTACATTACATTGCAAATGTAATTTATGCCTCAATTTACATTATATAAAAATGTAAATGGTCGAGGTCATTCTAGGTCGCTAAACAAATGTAAGCAAATATGTGACATTGACCATGATAACTCCTACAAAGTGTGCTGTTAACACTATTAAACAGACACGACTAAAAACATACTGACAAGAAAACCACTGCTCTTAATTTCTGTTTTTATTACTGTTTACTTAATAACTTGAAAAACCTGAAACTATGTATACTTGAAATTAAGCTACATGCTATTGTTTGAAAGTAATTTGTTAATTATTTTAATATTTAAGTTATTAAATAAAGTTTGTTCATTAGCATATTAGCTTTTGGAAGAAAAACTGGCATCAATAACCATGACATTTAACTGGTTTATTTTATAAATATATTTTTATTATTATTATTATATTCAGTATATTCTTATTTATATCTTTCTATATATCTTTCTTTTTAAAAGAGTTTTTGTATTTACCCGATTGCAGTCTTTCTCTCGTCCCAGCTCCACCACTGCTTTCTCTCTCTCCATCCTTGCCTCTTGCAACATCTCCTCCTTCTGCTGAATCTCATCATTTAGACGTTCCAGACGCACTTTGTCCATCTGTCAATTCATGCAATTACTTCAAAGAACAAGTCTTAAAGTTGCCTTTGTGTTTTTAAAAAAATAATTTTTACTACACATACCTCTGCATTCTGCTGCAGGGTCTCTTTCTCCTGTGCCCAGTTAGCCCTGCCCTCTCTCAGAGCCAGACTGGCATCTGCCAGCTGAAGTGTGAGTTGTGCGGCCTGCAGACGGGCCTGATGAAGCTCGGCATGTGTGGTGTCCCTCTGAGCGACCATGTCTCTCAGCTCCCCCCTCAGAGTCTCCACACAACGTTCACTCATGTTCAGATGCTCTTGAACACTCCGGAGTTCACTCAAAGCCACTTCATTGGCTGCCTGCTCAACAATGACAGACACAATCATCTCATGCTCAAAAGATGGTGTCAGTCCAGAGACAGTTACGAGGACTTGCATACATGACTTGTAGCAACCATCTGGATCCATTTTTTTATTTGCTGACTATATAGACATTGTTCAAATGTGTCACATCTGCATTTACAGCGATGAACCATTTAGAAGTTCTGAACAGCTGAAGATATTTAATAAAAATAAATTAATAAAAATTAAATCACTAGCAAAAAACTAATGTTAATTAATACTTGCATTCAGCAAGGATGCATTAAAATGAAGATTGAAATAATGACTACTGAAAATTCAGCTTTATCATCACAGGGGGAAAAAATCATATTTTAGAATATATTCAAATAGAAAACAGTTATTTAAAATTGTAAAAATATTATTACAATATAGTAATTTTAATGTGTTTTTGATTAAATAAATGCAGCCTTGGTGAGTAAAAGATTTATTTTAAAATCATTAAAAAAACTTACCGACCCTAAATTTTTGAATGGTAGTGCACACTATGATATAATGAAATATTCATATGTTGATTGCAAAAAAAAAATATATTTTTCAGAATACCATGGCTACAGTTGAATGGCTGTCAAAGCAGAAAGACATGCTTTTTACCCCCATATGGTGTAGTTACAACATTTACCAGCAGGGGCTGTCTGGACCATGCTAACCAGTCAAACCTTGACCCCCTTATAAATAAAATGCAGTTCACAGATAAATGGCATCAAGTCTCTGTTCTGAGACACTACATCCTGTGTACGCCCCGTTAGACATCCAAGGTGAAAGCTGGGGTGTGAAAACTGCTGGAGTGTTACCTCCTTCCTGTGAGCGCTG